CTTAAACTCATTCTCATCATCAATTGATTTCAATGGTCTTATTGCCAATAATTCCCAATATTCACATTTCAGCTGATTTCATTTTCGATAATATTATTTATATAGCGCTATTCATTTGTTTATGTCGACACTTATTCATCTCCATTATTCTCCGTAGTATATTGAGATATCTCATTATCAATTGATTCCATCAATGGTTTATATATGCCTCCTTTCATCACATATTTGGGGGATTTCAATTTGCACAATATCAACGCTTCCAGCGTATTATTCCACCAACATATCATTTCATATATTTCACATCATCAGTATCATACAGTTTATGATTCGCACACTCTCAGTGTGATGCATATATCATTTCCAAATTTCAATCATTGATTCTCCCCCTCATCTTAACAGATCCCTGATCTGTATTTTTAGTATTGAATTTCTTGAGGGGAGTTCATATAGTCTCTATTTTGTTCTCGATTTCAACATATATTTGGAGGACTTTGAACTCATATCATTTGTAGTGTGCACATTTTTCTTTCAAGAGTTCATCATATCAGGTGAGTATATTACTAGCTTCATCACTTTCATATGACACTTATTTTCATTCTTTCATAATCATCTTGTGTCATCCTTAGATCAAACCATCTCGTAACATCAGGTTATATGTCATATACACATTCTTTGATCAAATCATCTCGTAACTTCAGGTTACGAATCACACACATGTGGCTATCTAGTGGATCCATAATATCTAGTAGCACACATGGAGGGGTAGTGGGCCCATATATATCATACCCCTTTTATACTCAGATTGATCAAATATCGATTCACAAATATTTAGCTAGTAATATTTTTCACCAATCGAGAACAAACATCTCATATAACAAAGAATAAGTTCATCATGCAAACCATCATCAATAATATCGGCAAAAATTTTTAAAATGATCACAATAATTCGTTATGACACGTTTATCACAAACATTTCACATCGTCTTTCGGCGGCAATAAATGCACTTTAAGTGTGTGCTCTGGCAAAATGTCTTTTAGCCACTGTTTAAATCCAGAATCGTGTCATGCCGTCTGACACACATACTTTTGAACACTGTTTAAGTCCAGAGTCGTATCTCATACGCATCATATTTTTCTATAAATTATCAGGTAATTCATTCAATTTTCTTTAACAAAGGTCCGAATTTACAAATGGATTTAGCACTCTCAAATATCCGTAAATATTATTCTTTTCTTCTGAAAAATATCATAAAAAGGATTTATCGATCTCGATTAGAGAGATTGAGGATGCTAATGAATAATGGTATTCCAAATGATGTTAGATGGTTGATCGAAGCACAAGTTCGATTGTCTGGAGAGTTTCCAAATTCATATAAATATATGCCAGGTATGGGTAAAAGTACTTATGCAAAGAAACGAAGAGCAAAAAGGTTAGGTGGATGCTTCAAATGCGCTCGATGGACTTGTGACACACGATGTATATCTGTGGGGTACGTGTCCAAAAATCGAGAAGATAAAATAACGTTTATAAAGGATGGATTGAGTAAGGAGTCTTTGGATCAAACGATTCAACAGATTCTTGAGACACATTCTAGTGGATACGTGCATCGTGAGCTTATGTCTTTATGGATTCAGTTCAAAAATGAAGAAGAACGTTATAGTCTCGAAAATATTATTTCAAAAGATCAAGTTTGTAAAACTGGTCTTGTTAGTACGAAAAATCATACTAATACAGTTTAGTATGTTGTACTGTAATTTTCTAGAAAAACTTATAGTTGCCGACAGATAAGATTTATTTAAAACCCAACACCTTATCTGTCAGTTGCAATTGTCAGAAAAAAACAGTAAAATTATTTATTGCTTTGTAAAACTTTCTATTTAAATAGCGAGTCGTTCATCATAATCATATGCCTCACAAAGTTTTGAAAAATTCAGTTTATCAATAAATAGATGGATGTTTCGGAGTCTTCGCAAGGTAATAATTTTCTTCAACCGATCAAAACCATATGTGTTCTTGGTGGTTCTAAACTGGTAAGTTTTTCTCAAACTATTGATATTGTAAGTCAGTTAGTCAAAGAGATGGGGAATCAAAAAATTAATTTGCTGTATGGAGGGACTAGCAATACTTTCTATGATAGTCTCTTAATGGCTGGACAATGTTTTGAGATAGAAGTGAAAAGTGTCATACCTTTTCGTAGAGCTTCAACAAAGGTCGTCAAGGATTCCGCAAGCATGATGTTAACTCATTCCATTCATGATTGTATGATGGATATGGTGAACAATAGCGATGCTTTTATCATTCTTCCAGGCGGGTATGGAACGCTAATGACAATGTTTACCATTGCTTTATGGGCAAAATTGAAACTTCATAACAAGCCCATAGGTCTATTGAACTTTAATAACTTCTTTCATGGTTTGTTTGGATTTTTAGACATAGGAGTATATCAAACCTTTATATCTCCTTCAATGAGAGAAGTATTCAAATCTGCTGACACGTCTGCTGAACTTATCAAAAAGCTTCAAGAATGCATCACATTTCAAGATTCTGTGGAAACACAAGGGGTCAAGCGAAAAAGAGCTTTTGATCCTTTAGATCTCTCATTATGAACCCAGATATTATTCAAATATGAACCCAGATATCATTCATGGGTGGCAGAGTTACGGAGTTTTACACTCTCGAGACGCACCCTTCTTTTATGGGTTCTATTATGTAATCTTTGCGTATTTTGTATTCATCGAGTATTTACTGCCTCTTTTCCATATTTCCACCATCTGAACATTTTGTACTTGTTTCTCAGTAATAATAATATCAATTTCGATTTTTCTCAGTGTATAGTAGTTCATGACTACAATCATTATCATTTGTGCTTCTTCCGGAGCACTTTATTGTAATATCTGTATGATCTCGTATCCTAATGTGATCTCGTCATCTGATATAGCCCCTTAGACTTATATAATATATTAAGAAATTATTTTTGTGTGATCACCCATAGCTGGTAGCTTTTGATACCACTTTCTCATTTTGTTCAATCATCCAATGGTAGCTTCTAGTACCATTTCATCACTTTGTTTAATCATAAAATGGTAGCATCCAGTACTACTATACCATGATATCATTTAATCATTATGCCATAACTTCCGACATCACATTAATCATGTGGTAACTTATAGTACCTTCTCATCAATATTCATATTTCCATAAATTTGGAGAATTTATCAACTGATACTTCAGGACCAGGTTAGTCCATATAATGTCTGTATATGACAAGGACTTTAATTAACTTTCACATGGTCAGATACAAAGTATCATTAATTTCACTCATTGGCTATCACTTAATTTGTACTGCCCATCGCCGGCGGCAGTGCCGCACTGGCCGACCCATGTATATGTATAGCCATTCATTTGTTGCACGTGGCGTTGCCACCTGGCCATTCTATATCACCGGTTATCATTAATATACTGACTGATTCATTTAGCTGTTCAATATTATCTGTTGCTGGTGGCTGCAACACTTGGCCATTTCATATGATCGGTCATATTTCTTTATAATATTTTTGATCAATAATTGACCCGTTGGTTACCATTAAATATTACTTGCCGGCGACAGAGCCGCACTGGCTGATCCATATAGCCACACATATTTCTTTTCATATCACAAGGGTCAATCCATAAATATCCACATTTCCATTTACCAAGTATTTTTCTCAATAGAAAAATTCATACATTTCATAATACCAATATAATTTAATATATCAATATTGGTCTTAAAATGAAGCTTACATTAAATAGAATAATCTAAAGTGAAATAAGTTTATTTCAATAATCACTATTTTGTAAATTTAACAAAATCTAATGACTACTATGATTATTTGTATAAGTAGAAGGCAACAAAGGCTTGCAATGCATTTCTTACTCCACGTAAAACAGCAACTAAGTAAGGGATATAAAAATGTCATGATTGATGTTTTTTTTTTTTTTTCTCAAATGATATCACCCAACCATTAATGCATGCAGTAAATGTTATTGTCATCTAGACTATTTTTCCAAGACAAACCCCACAATCACATGCTAGTTACACACAACCACCATACATTCTTATTTTATTATTATTATTATTATTATTATTTATCAAATTTGTGTGTGCTGTGGATGTTCCGATCCCTATTACTCCCAACAGCAGAAATTCATCTTCTCCTCCTTATATCTTTCATCCATTCTACTCCTTTTCATCTCCAAAACAACATACAGGCCTCAATTTTTCTTCTAAACAAAACGTAGCCACTACCACAAATTCCAAAATTTCAAGAATAACCATACCTTTCAATATCGAATCCGAGGAGGCCAGATTCGGTTAAGCGGCAGCGCGATGCACGAGGCTCAAATCTCAAAATTGGTGACTGACCGGAGTGCTGTCCGGCGGGAGCAGACAGTCGGTGGGCTCTGCAGCCCTGGGCTCGGGCGGACGGAGACTGGAGGAGGTCGATGGTTGCGCAACCTTTTTGGTGTTGGCTATTGAAAATCTGGCGGCCATGCTTGCTAAGACACGGCGAATGTCGAGTGTTCGACGGTGGATGGGTGGTGTCATTGCACCTCCGAACCTCTTAATTATGAATTACTCATTTTTTTTTCTTTAGATTCTCACAAAATGGGATTCAAATTGAGAGAATTATTATTATTATTATTATTTTTAATCTCATGGTGGTTGTTCTTAGGATTCCATGGGCGAAAGAATGTGATGAAAATGATTATGATAAAAGAAAGAGAAAATTCAAAGTTCTTGCATAAGAAGTTGATTCAAGAGAAGAACGATTAGTAATAATCGGATTTCTGATACAGACGATCGTCTATAAGACGCAACTGTAGAGCATACTTTCGTCATATTACAAATCAAGCTCTGAGGTAGAGACTCGTGCTGATAACGTGTTATAAAACTAGAGAGAAAGAGAGAGAATAGAGAAAATGTATTCTCTTATGTGTGTTTTTCATTATAACTGAAGCTCCTATTTATAGGAAACTCCTGATGGCACAATTTGTAATAATACAAATACATCGAGGGCAAAATAGTCATTCACATACATTATTTTATTATTTCATAACAATATCCACAAATTAGAAATTCATTGCAACACAAATAATTCTGAAACGGAAAGCAGTTTGATCTGGCCATAAATCCATAATTGGAGTCCGGGCAATTGAAAAGTATCAACGACCCTCTTTCTCCACACTTTAAAACTTGTCAAACGAAGCGATCGCTCAACAGTACAAAAAACATATATAATTAAGGATAACATTATTAATACTTAGTTTCGCCGCTAATAGCGGGGAGGGTAGGCTCCGGAAGTGGGTGGCTGCGATGGATAAACCGTTGGGGCCATTGTGTAGTTTGCGGCGGAATAAGGTGGCGCTGTGATTGTAGGATTAGCCTGCGTCGGCGGATAGGCAGATGTAGGTGGAGTACTGTAGTTTCCACTATGCTGACCTGCAATTTAATTGTACTAACAATGATTAAGGCATATATCCACTCCAAAAAATTGTTTACTTTCGGTTTCTAGTCTGCAAATAGAGTTATCTATCAGACATTAATTTTCAAAATATACATTCAAGAAATTACTTAACGGACTATTAAACCATGTTTTAAACAATATACCGTATCAGCCAGTATTACCGGTGTAACTGATACAGATGGTTCGGCCGATATAATAACCCTCTAATATATTATTTTGGCCAAAATATCGGTTTATATCGATTTCTTACTAGAAAATGTCTGTTCTATTGAAAGATACCGGCCAAATACCAGTTAAAATACCGGATATACTACTTTGACGATTAGAGTGTTGAAGGTTAAGTACTTCTACAACCAGAAAATTATGGATATCACTCCTAAAAACAATGATTGTAGGTTGTGGAAATCTTGAATGAGTGTTAGGAAATAATTGGTTGGGATAAGGAGTTATTCAAACAAACCTTCAATCCTAGAGAAGCTGAGGAAATTATTTGATTGCCTAGTCCACAAAAAGGGCAGAAATATAGGCTGATTTGGCATTTTAATACAAAAGATTTATTCTCTGTTAAGTCTGCTTATAAAATGTTGGTGGAGAATCTGGAAAACTCCTTCGGGAAACTTGAAACCAGTAACGATATCAAAATACTGAAAAGAATCTGGATGAAGTCTTGGGGCTTGAAGGTAAAAAATTAAATTAAAATGTTTATTTGGAGATGCTAGCACAAATATTAGGGAGGTCAAGAACAACTCAAGAAGAAAGGGATTCCTGTCAACATCATTTGCAGCCTTTGTGGAGAAATTAAATTATTACATCTATTGTATGATGTAATAATTTCTCCAGCTGTGAGTGTGATATTAAGTAAACTGGTTTGGTTAGCAATTTTACCTGTTGGATAAGCAGTGGGAGGGTGTGAGTTGTTGGCCGGTGAAGGGTAGCCTGATGGTGGCTGGGCAGGGTAGTTGGTAGTAGAGAGTGGGGGATAAGCATTTGGTTGAGTAATGGTGGAGCAAGGTGGGAAGGGTGGTGGTGGTGGTGGTGGTTGTGGTTGTGTGGTGGCCGGGAAATTAGGAGCTGTTGGGGGGAAAAGGTATGTTGTGTTTAGAGGAGTATTTTGTGTGGGTCCCCGACCGTCATAGGGAAGGAGTGTAGAGAGAGGTGCATATGCATATGCATATGCTTCTTGTTGTTGTTGACCTGCTGGGTTAGCGACCAAACTCAATATACAAATATGCATGAATGTTGAATACCAACAAGGAAAAATTTCAATCTTGCTCTGATTACTTGTTTAAAGTCCATTTTTTGGTACACTAACTTACTCCTTATAAGAAATAGTAAGTTATGTTGCAATTTGTATCATTTTTCGAAATTCAAAAGTTCTATAGAGTCATCGGATGGTTTTCTTATGGAGCCATCCACCACTTAATGTATTGACACATGTCTAAAGTGTATTTATTGCAGGACACATGTCAATATACTATTGGTGAATAAGAGTGAATGACTCCATAAGCCGAGTCATCCGATGGCTCCATATCAAAACTATTTAGAACATTACTCATCAAAAACTGTACGTTATGTTGCAATTTGTATCATTTTTAGGACATTAATCTACAAAGATAATGAACCATTGTTAGGATAATGTCCAATAGTGATTGAAATTGCAACACAACGTACTATTATTGATGAATGAAAAGTTAGTGTACCAAAAAAAAGACTTTAGACAAGTAAACAAATCAAAATTGAATTTTTTGTCAATACACAACTTACAGAAAAGCTCTCATACCTGTCGGGGGAGGATGGTGGCCGCCCGAGTATGAAATTGGTGCTCCTACCATGCTGCCTGATCACGGATTCTTATTGTCAATTCTCTCTCAATATTGTGAAATGAAATGTATTTTTTTTTAATTAATTTATAGCTAGGTGATTACATTATATTATTTATTGGGGAAGGAAGCACCGAGGAAACTCCTTCGGTTAAAGAGTTGACTTTAAAATGTCATCGGATGGGATTCCCTTCAATAAGACTTGAAGATAGTATTATTTTTCTGTTTAATTTCTCCACTTTCTATTCTTTGCATAAACATATCCATGTGTATTATTACACGGTAGAACAGGTCAACATGGTAAAAGAATAGTGGCCAACTAAATTTTATAAAGGTTATAAAGTCAAGTTGTTCTGTGCGGCATGTGCAATGGAAGAACAAGCGCCCGCGGGATTGTGAAAATCAACGACTGGACTGTTGGTTTGTATATACTAAATATTTGGTTTTGTTATAAATTTATTTTGGTTTCAATGAGAATCTTATTTAATTAAATACAGTCTATATTTTATTGTTTATATTGTAGTGCAATTTTGAATTAGTTAATCTTGATTAATGAATTACACTAATACACTTAGAGTGTATTGAACGAACCTGCAGAAGATAAATTTATTTTATACTGACAAAATAAATAAATTATCTCAAATGATATTCAAAGTTTTATAACAGATTTTACTAATTTATTTCCGGACCATATCAAGTTCAGGAGCAAAGTCCAAAGAAAAGCCCACCACATATACAAGTAAAAGTTAACAATACAATAAAAACTTGTAATTCACACATCCCTCGAGCTTTCTACATAACCTCATCCATTGTTACAAATCGACCCTTCTCGATTGACAGTTGCGCAGCAACTCCTATTGCAACCGAAATCAGTCCATCTTTCAAATTCACAGCTGGAGCTTGAGCACCATTTGCTCTAATTGCAAACAAAAATTGAAGATGTTCCAAATAGCTAGAACCATGATGCAGTCCATCGTATCTAGTAAGCCAACAAAAACTCGTGACGAAAATTTACAACCAACCTTGTAAATGAAGCAATGGCTAATAAAGAATGACTCACTTTATGCGAACATCCTCAGCTTTCAGTGTTTTAACGCCATCTCGCCCTTCTACTCGCGTTCCCCAACGAACAATGCTCTCTGGTACAAACGCCTCACCCTAATCAACCTTGCAAATTTAGTCTCATACCCACATTACAGAAAATTTCACTTGTATCTATAAATTACAAATAACCCCTATGAGGTTTGTATTTACCCCACAGATGGCTCTTTTGTAACTCCATCAACTTCATCGACTAAATAAATGTCACGCAGAAATACCAGGGGCAACTCTGCAATTATATCTTTTAGAATGAATCATAGAATGCACTAGTCACAACTACTTGTTCATGAATGAATGACGATCCACATGTCATTAAAGCTTAATCACCCATAAAACCACGGGTGAAAATTTTGTACCTTACCAATGTCACCAACAACAGATATCTCTTGTTCATTTTTACTGCCTTCAGCGAACATACAAAGATCAAGCATACCCCGAGCACCATTTTCGAATTCAACAATTACATATGCATTGTCGATTATATCTGGCGCCTGCATAAAACAAAAATCATATGCTACAATCATGTTGATCGCTAGAAATCTACATATCTTGCCAATATAAGATCAAATAGAGATTTTCACCTTTCCATCATATATTTCATCTTTATGATTTACGTCAATGCCACCAGATGCCATGACACGGACTGGATTGGCACCGGCAAATAACCTCATTAGATCAAAAAAATGGCAGCATTTTTCCACGAGTGTACCGCCGGTGTTACAGTTGAACCTATTCCAATTGTTGACCTATATTACAGCAAAGGTTTAAGAAAGAATATATTTTGTTTATTTACTCTGGATAAATGGGAGACAGCATTACAGTAGCTGAAAAAGTTACCTTGACTAGAAACGGGAATCGATGTTCACGAATGGAAACCATCTTGACTCGTCCCAAAACTCCATCTTTCACCAAATCAATCAATTTAGCGATAGGCGGCATATATCTGTATTCTAACCCAACTTGTACTAGAACATCTGGTCTCTTTGCAGCAGCATCTATGACCTTAATAATAATAATAATAATAATAATAATAATAATAATAATAATAATAATAATAACTATTCTATTCAAAGATAAATAAATCCTTAAATGCCAATAACAGCTCTTGCTAAATAATGCTGGAGAATTACAAGTTTTGGGTGCAAAAGGAACAAATTGGGCTGCAAAAAACAAGAATTTTGAAACAAATATTTGTGTTTGGCTTTCTTTCAAACCTTTTTGCAGTCTGCAACAGTTGTGCAGAGTGGCTTCTCCACCAAGACATGGTGGGGTTTTGGGTGACTGATAATATCCATCAATATGTCAAAGTGAGTCATGTTTGGAGTTGAAATAATCAACACATCACATATCCCACTATCCAGCAGCGCCTTATGACTGGAGAAGACCTTCAAATGCATAGTCCCAGATACATACATAGCAGCAGTTTACATTCTATAAACAGGCTAGAACAGCAGTAAGTAAATTAACTCAACATCAAATCTTATCTCTTTCTCAATACACATATATAACTAATAA